GTAATTGTGAAGAACATCTCCCCTCCACTGACAGATGGCCAACTGTCGGCCAACAGTCAGTCAACAGTTGGCTGACACTAAACTGACAGGCCACAGAGAGGTAACCAACAGGTTAGCGACAGGTGGTGAAATAGCTTTATTAGACACCATATTTACATTTTACAAAACGGACCAAGGCATATATGTGCTTTTTTGCATTCAAAACTTGATGTAAAACTTATTATAAATGCTTGAAATTCCTCAAAATGCCACCAAAACTAAAAAGGCAAGAAAGCATTCCTTGTGCATTCAATGTTGTATATGTATAAATGATATATCTTGTTTTTACATAAAATGATCCATGATAGCGTGGGTTACGTTAAAGAACTAGAAGCAGTTTGTGGGAGAAGACTTTGGTGAGACCTGATTGTGATGGTTAACATGCCATGAGATGGACAGCTGTTACCGCTCGAATTTGATGATTGATTTTTTAATCAAATTTGTCTCTCTTTTAACAAACAAACGGCTCCTTTAGGAGCCACCGATAAAATTAAAGTCATAACAACATGAACTAATTTACTTGAGACCATGCAAAATTCAGAGGAGGATTAGGAGAAAGATAAAAATCCAAAACGGCGACCAGGCTGAGAGTCAAAGTGAGTGTTGGAAGAGAACTGCCCAGAAATTTTGCTGAACTCACATAAAAGGGCCAGAGACTTTTAAGAGTTTCATTTTATCTTTTCAATACAATTATCAGGCATTGTAAATCATAAACTTTTTATGGCAATAATCAACCTAAAGTTACCAACATTCTACTGACAGGTTGCCAACACCTTGCTTACAGTCATGATGCAGTCTGGGACAATACAAAGCACAGGATTCTACTGCATACTGAGGGCATCTGACATGTACTGTGTATTTACTTTTGACACATGTTAAAACCTGTTATAGATAGGGATTCAGTTGCAAACTTGAGACTGCTGATGGATTTATGATTTTCAAGGAAGATGTTCCTGTCTCCATTTTAGACTATAATAATTTTTGGTAAGCCATTAAGCTGAGAAAATTTGGTTTGTTCCATGACTGTACAACTGCCAGTATACAAGGTGCTACTTTAAGCATGCATAGACAATTTAAATGCAGGTAGGCTTACATTGTAGCATTCCTCAAGGCAAAAAGCACACTCTTATTTATTTCTTCAATAAGTATCTCACCAAAAAGCCTGCTGCAAATAGTGAATAAGACCAAGAGAACATAAAATACAAATTGCCAACTCCCAAGTCTGGGTTGAAAGAGGGGTGAACTTTGAGCTATCAAATGCGTCCATGCCAAAAAGCACTTTGTTTTACAAGTGAGAACCACAGGAGTGTTTATGCTTTGCTAATACTGCATCCATACCAAGTTAAAACTGGAATACCACAATTTCTGGGATTCAAATTCCATTCTCCCAGAGGTCATTATTTGGCAACCATACTGCTGACAAGGAGCCAAAATGACCCCCAGTCCCAGGAAAAGTGGGAGGAGAAGTTTCCTTGGTTACACTACCCTTCTACCAAGAAAGGTAGGGAATTCTTATTGATCAAACAAAAGTTAGTTGCCCACCAATACCACTGTGGGATACCACAATCATATGTGCATAAAGCTAAAAACTGGTCAGGCACACAACTCATACATGTAGGTATAAGCAAATAATGCTCAATTATCCAATTCCAAGTGCACCATATTTAGTTTCTTTACAATGATTGCTGCCTGGAAAAAAACTCACACTCAGCAAAGCTAACAGCAATTATCCTTGCTAAGGTCATTATTTGAACCAATAATGAGTGGAAAAATTGTTAACAGCTCTTCCCAATAATGAGTGATAGATGGCAATGAAGAGAGTTTACATGTATGTACAGGTAGTAACTCTTTTCTGGGTTTGCATAACCACCATGTTTGTAGTGGAAAGCCTCCTGACAAAGCAGAAACTTTTCTCATGGCTGAGAAGACGACTCAAATTAATTAAGAAAATAGTTCACTTCTCAGTTTCAATGTTGATGTTAAATTCTGAACGTATGGTATTATTGCCACTTGTAGCATAAAATCCTTTGCTCTTGATTTCCATCGCATCATAGTTAGTCAGACTTCATTTATCTCGTGATTGTAATCCTAACATCATATCTTAACTTTGAAATACAAAAACTGTTGAAAGCCATCTTGGTGTTTGGAAATCATTCTGACGAACATCACGTTCAGAAAGCAAGGGTCGGCGTTTTCGGTGTCTAAACTTCAAATGACACATGGTAAAAGAACACTTAAAATCCTTTGTCCGGCAGAATAAATTTCACACTTACCTGACCCGTGAAACTTTACCAGCAGAAGAAAGAGTAAGTTAATTTCATAATCACGGAAAGACACCATCTCATCACACCTTTGCTGATGCTTCAATGAGGAAGGTTATGCCTAAATCCTACGGAAGTCACTTGAAGGGATAAACGAGATTTGAGACTGGGACCGAGTATCACGATCATTCTCGTGAAATTGTCGGCCGTGGTCGGTAAAAATGCCTAAACAACATGGCGAATGGTGCAATTTATAGAGGAAAACTCGATGTTAGCTATACACTTAGAACATTTGCATGAATTGTAGAAACTCTCCTGTCGGATACACACTCCATTCAGAGTAAACCATGCGTGAAACTTACGAATGTGGCGAATGTATCGAATGAGAGTGAATCATAGCACCGATATCGATTACGAATGCGTACGAAACTTAATGAAAGTCATGCAAATAGAAAAAAAAATTGTAACAAACAGTTTTCAACTCCTCTTTCTTGTTTATCAACCATGGATTCTTTTCCAAGGACTACTGCATATAATCGAGGTAGGGTTCCCCTGATCTAACCTCTGTGGCGATGCTTGAGAGTACCCCTATTCCTGGGGCCGGAAACGGAAGTCAAACGGATCACAAGCGAAATAATAACGCAATCCAGACGCGCAAATCCAGTCAGTACTTAGCAAGAAGTGCGAGAAAATCAAATTGCATCAATTTTCTAGAGAGCAACTTTCCTGATTCCCTCTATCTTGATGAATTGATATCAGCTCCCGCGTGTATCTGCAAACCATGTCATCTAAAAACATCTCTGATACTTTTACCTCTATGCCCGATGTAAAATCAGCCGAGAAGCTGCTACACGAACACGAGGTGGACCAGTCCCTAAATGCCCCTGTACAACCTCTTTCACAGCCAGAGCTGAACATTTTTATTACAATGAATGGCTGAAAAGTACACTGACCAGAGCTCCGCTTTTAGGCTCGGCTAGATCTATATATTATAAACTCAATATAAGAGAGTTTGCACCAATTTTTCCTCCACACTGTTTGACAGCGATAACTCGTTCATTGCGTAACGGCATTCCAGATTTTAAGAGAACAAAAAAATAGTTACTCCATGATATAATCGATCATGATGAGATAAAGGCACAATAAGCTTTATTTTCGTCCATCTGGTGGGACAAATTTAAGATTTTAACTCAGTTGTTGACCCCATAATACCTTCACTTCAATGATATTGGTCCCCAGATCAAATTTTTATAATTGGGTTTTTTCCGCTCTTAAGTTAAAAAAATTACCCAAGTTTAATTTGTCGAAAGAGAAAATCCAAAATATTAAAAAGTGGGCGAGGTAGGGCTAAAAGACTGTTTTACGATGCTTGTACCAGGAGTAATGGGCTCTTACTAATACCAAATAATAAAGGCGTAATGATTCGGGGGTGTCTGGGCCGGCAGAGTTTTGACCTTCTTCAAGGACTTTCGCTCAGGATCTCGATCTGCATATTTCGTTTACATCGCGTATTGCACTGCCCAAAAGAGGTGAATTTGTCACATTTCCCGAAACTTTGAAGAGGAAGCCTGGGCAAAAGAAATAGAAGGGAGAAAATTTTGTTGAGGCGAAAAAGTGTTATCTTACTCTTTGCTTTTCCTGACAAAATTTTTGGGTCCTCGTTAAACCCATTCCTTTCCTCCGGTGAAGTCGCGAGATGACCTTTCCCGCGAATCTCAATCGACCTCTTTGTTACGAGACATGCCAAGGAGTCCAGCATATTCATATCGACACACGCCTATATAAAGCAAAGAAAACTGTAAATTTCTTTAGAGGCCGAAACTCGAGGTTTGTTTTCACGCGAGTTACCTCTACTTAAAATAAATTAAGAGGGTAAGTAGTTTGGGCGGGGTTTGGCGGACATAAGGTTTTTTTTTTTTTTAATAACTCAACAACAAAAAAATGAGCAACCATTTATTAACAATGACTCTCTTTGAATTCAACACCGTAAGCGATCCAACCGTCTGAATCTATCTTATCCCACTGGCAAGTCGTGAATTGAAAATGGAAATATATTGGACAGAATATGCATGCAAGGCAAGGTAAGAAGGCATTTATATACGCCATACGTCGCTCTTACAATATAATATCATGCTGGTTTTGGGTAGAACTCAAACTGGAAATTCTGATAAGCAATTTCCGATTTTCGCTATCATGTTTAGTTCAACGGAGCCGGTCTCCTTACGCAACTGTCAGATCCTCACCATACCGATCAGAGATCAGGAACGTCTCAGAAGACGACGACCACGAGTGAGATACGTTTTCGAAAATGATGTGAAACTGCTAAAGAGACTATTCGAAACACAGACCCACTCGCGTGCCAACAACGACATGAAATAGGAGGCTGATGACCTGTTCCAATCTAAGAATAACTCAACAGAGATTTAAATTTTGTTATTGTATAATGACGCCGCTAGTAAACACAATCCAAGAATGGTTTGTGATACGATGTTAAAAACAAAGGCAATCAAAATAAAACATTGGATAGCTAGGGAAACATTCTCGATTGTAAGATACAGAACGTAAAAAGAGTATAAGAAAACCATAGCAGACACTGAATTTGACATAATAAATTACCTGTAATTTTCAAGCAGGGAATCCACGGGGATGAGAGAAAAATGAGTCAGTAAAGGAGTGATGAATAAATGCAGATATACATGTCAAGTGACTACATCGTGAGGCAAACGATTAGACAGTTTATTTTTACTTACCACCACAATGAGCAATAACCTCTTTAACGAGATGCAGATATATAGATAAAATGCTACACTCTTTGGGAAATAGAAGAACATTACAACCTCATGATGAGCAACATAAGAAAAAATCTTTAAGGGTTATACCTGTTCAATGTGATATAACACATATCTTGTGTTTGACTTTTTGGTATTTTTAAAAAGCTTGACAATAAGTCACTTTTCCCTTCAACAACTTAAGCATTGGCAGCATTGGCCAGAGAAAAATTTCCTCCAAAATGCTCGGTGGATATTTCCTGAAAAGCGAGGAGCTCCTTGCCCCCTTTCCCAACTCTTCCTCGGTCGTCGAAGAATCATTTGTCCCGTATTGTTATTAAGTGCAACTGAGAAAACGAAAATACTGACCAGACGGTACACCGTGTTTGTCATTGACTTCATGAAATTTATTGACTACATTTGTTGTTCTGTAGTAACTGTGAAACATAAATGTCTCTTAAATGTAGAAGAAGCCATTTTAATAAATTCAGCTGTATTACTTTCTTTTCAGGTGAGGCTGCCTGGCTCAGGTCAGTCCTCAGAGATAAATTACGATCTACAAACCTAATCAAGATAAACACACATGGGATTGCTAGCTATTATTTCAGACGTTCCTTGCGAGGCATCATCATGCAGACAGATTCGTTTCAGAAATTTTCAGACCTTACATTAAAAGCCACTTTCATAATTTCTTTTGGAAAAGAACTTAAGACCAATTTGATCGAGTGTCAGCACCAACGTCGAGTTACATTACTTGTAAAAATAAGAAACAGGCAAAGAACAATTTTGAAGACAAAACTTCCGCTAATTCTTCAAAACAAGATCTTTCAAGTGATTTTTGGAAAACGCTCTTTTTAACCATTAGTAACATTTCATTTTTTCGTTTCGACTTTCTTGCGAACAGTTATAAGCATTAGCTTAACCGCTAAATAAACACTGGCGTCTCCGACCCAGTGACCATTTTAGGCTGACATGTTGATTGCGAGGTGTTCAAACAGTTGACCCTCAAAAGCCTGAGTACGTTTACCCAACTATTCTACTAGATCTTCAACTCTTGCGTCCAAATTCTTGTCCCACATTTTCATGCTAATCAGCATCTGCAGAGGAAAAATAAATTTTAACAGAAGTGTTAAGACTATTTTGCCTCCTTTACGCTAAGAGCAGTCACCGAATGCGCTATCAGCGTGCAGGGCCAATTACACACGGATTTAGTGTAATTATCAAAGGGTTAACAATTCCTTAATCGAATCCAAGTTTTACGTTCATCCGATCGCCTTATCAAATAAGATTAAAGGGCTATTGCTGAAATATACTGATACCCTTATCAGTGAAAAATTACATCAAAAACAATCCCGAGAGAGATTTTTGTTAACAATGCTGGTCGTGGAACCTTGCTGATATAACAGAAAAGAGGACATCTGAATGGGATAACGTTGATTTAAAGGAAATTGGTAACTTGCCACGTCCATCACAAGTCTTACCTCGAGCAGGGTTCCTATGTCTTCAAGCTCTTTTCAATTCAGTGAATGTTTGTCTCGCATCCGGGTCATTTTGCCAGCATCTCATCATTATCCGGTAGCTAATATCGATCTACACATATAATGAGCACTATTATGACAGCGAGATACATATAATGTTTCTTTCAATGAGCATAAAAAAGGAAAGAGAGGGACAAGTGCCAAATCTATGTGCTGTGTTTTAGGCATTCGGAATCCCTGCTGAAGCAAGTTTGCAATTTCCCTGTCATCAAAACGTGGATTCGTTGAACCACCTGAAAAAGAACTAATGTGCATCTTAGTGCAACAGGATATAAACCTCAACTCAGTACCTTCTTCTTCATCTGGAGCAGAATGCAAATTCTTATCTCCACCCGAATGGACTCCTTTGGTCAATTCTAAAACATAAGTTTGAAGAATAGTACAAGAAACGTACTCCAGTCTAAAGTAAACCACTGTCACAGTCTAATCAAATTTCATCAGGTGTTAACTATGGTGAAAATCTCGTCTAAGACAACTCTATAATTCCACCTGACAAAGCAAAAATAGGTTATGGTAGTGGGCCCATAGAATCAATTACCAATATGTTAAAATGTAATAATATATGAAATAAAAATCAATATCTTCTTTGGAAAAGCTTCAAAATTACAACTTGGCCATGCAATTGTTATTAACTGTAAAATAATTAATAATCTACTGTCACCAAAAGAAATGAAAAATTTCACTTACACGCCAGTGTTTGTGGTACAGGTGCCGTACAACAACGCCTCCTAAGCTTCCTCTTTACAGAGGGATGGTCCAGCCCTTTATTAGGAAGCTAAACTGGATGTAAACGTTTTCATTAGGCAGTAAATCAGACATATTTTTGATGGCGGTAGATTTCAAAGTAATGATACTTCATCTTTCATCGCAAAAGATCAGAAGAGGAAGACTTTTTTTTTAAATCTTAGCCACTGGCAATAATCGGATTACCTTTACCTATCTTTCATAGATATTCTCTTGCTGGACGTCTCTAGCCATTCCAAAGTCTGTCACTTTGCATGTTTCTTTTTACGTACCGCGAGGTCTCGGTGGATGATCGAACGGAAAGCTGAGACAAAACACGGCTGACTCATTCAAATGAAACATATTCCATAGATACCAGATGTGACTCTGCGAAGTGCACCTAAAGTGTGAAGCAAATAATCCAATCACTTACGAGAGACCTTAAGTCCCAAAAAAAACGAGCCAAAATAAAAGAATATCTGTAATAAAATCAGCCTCATACGCTTTATGTCGCAAAGTTCAATGAGACCCATACAACCTAATTGAGCATACCGATTCCACAACATATCCCAGAAGTCTGATGACGTGAGGGTATGGTTTCAGCTGCTTCATTGTCTCAAGTTCATTCATCAAACCTCCGATTTGTCCGATTCTGCAGCATTGACTGGGAAGTTAAAAGCCATGAGCAACGTTAGCAATGGGCAAAATGGCAACGTAACGATGAAAAATCAAGTGGCTGAGAAAAACTTCAAATAATACTCCGTTCTATTGCTTAGGGGTAGGGTTGGGGTTTAGGTTTAAGGTTAGGGGATGGTTTTCAGTTAGACCTACAGTGAACCCTTTAATTTAATCGGAATGAACAAAACAGAACAAAACGGTTGTTATTTCATCCCTAACGTCCGGAAATCAGAAAATAGATCTTACTTTTTTGGATCTTTATAGCTACTGTAATCGTCCCAGGCCTCCCTCGAAGTCCCACTACAGTTCCCTTGATAACTTGGCGGAAAGCAACACTACTAATAACGCTTTCTTATGGTCACGTGATCACTAAAAGCTTCCCAGGAGCATGTGAATGGACGTAGAGGCACCTACTCAGCACCTGGGACTGCATTTTGCGCTTTAATATGATCTCTGTTGGCGTCCCTGAGATCCTTGTACTCTGCAAGAACCTGGGTGAGTCTGCTTGAACCAGGCTGGCTTGGTTCGACATCTCTTAATACCACTTTATTTAATTAACTTGAGATGCCTGTTTAAGTATAAATACATAATAAACTGGAAAAAGTAAGATTTTGTACTTAATTTCATCGTCATAAACGCGTGCTGACGTATGAACTGGGGTAAGTACTGTAAATTGACGAAGAACGTTTATGTTGTTGTTCCAACATACCATAGGTCGGGGTAGACTCTTACCCTCTCTTTCGTTTAGCACCCGATTATAAAAATAACCTGACCAAAAGCGTCATTTCCAACGATTTATTCTATCTTCACGTATTCCGAGGCAGAAACAAATGTTTTCATCAATACTCTAAGCAGATTATCATGCTTTTTTCATTTGAGTCGTTACTTTTTGACGAAAACCATTCGGCGGTAAGTAATGAGAAGTGTAACTTGAAAGCAAATTTTTCTGGTAGCAGCAGGGGTTGTATTTACTGATGTTTTTGTTTGAGCAGAAGGGTTATGATGTTACTTACTTTCATATGAACTGGCAGGCGTATAGATGGGGCTCCGGTAGTTATTCCTCCAATATCAGGTCATCTTCACTGAGACTGAATTCTCCATGCGTCTCATCTTTTGTCAGTTATTATCGGTTTTTGCATAATATCGTCATTTTTTGGTATTTCGCAGATCAACCAGTATGTACTCCCACTTTCAGCTTTGACAAACAGTTCATCTTCTCACCACTAGCAAATATCACGATATTTTGCACAACCTTGGTCAGTTATCTGTTAGTCATTTATCTCATCCGCATTTCAGATATGAGATAGAATGTAATTTCACGTAACTTTTGACCAAAGTCAAAAATAAATACGTGGCAATTTAAAATACTGCTTTGCTATGCAGTTGTTATAGACGTTAACAAGAATCAGCAAAGTTCTTCCATATCTGGCTTTACCTTTGACCCGCGTCAAAAGTAATGTCACACACTTTCCACATTTAAAATCGCCCATGACTAGCATAGAATACAGAGTCAAAAGCGTAAAATTTTTGATATCGTTCAAGATGCTCCTCAAAAATTGATATCAAATCTGAACAACATATTTGACCTTACCTTTGACAAGGATCAAATATGCAGGAGATCTAAATTTTCCGCAAACTCGAAAAAGAAACTATCCCTATAAAAGCTTGGGAAAGTGAACACCTTTTGAATAATCAAAGCACGATTTCGCATGTAGTTACCCTCATATGTAGTGATATTTGATAGAGGTTGTAAGGTGCTCTCAACAAGCGTTCCACGTACCTTTTTCTTTGTCTATCCCGGATCCTGAAAAAAGGAAAGCAAAATAGTAATAAAATAAAATAAAGATTGAGAAACATAATGAAAACAAAAATTTGTGGGGAACAAGGTTACCAGGCTGGAAAATAACAACGTTGACCAGCACTGACCTTTAACTTTGGCCAGCTTGATAAGAGACGTTTTCCCTCTCACTAAATTGATTTTGTTTCGTTTGGTTAAAATTAATTATCTCATTTCGTATACATTCTGTACAATGGAAGGGAGCTTTATTAGATAGAAAACGGGGATTCTGGCGCATTTTTGAAAACAACCTTGATTTTAAAGGCAACTCATGAATTTAACCTTGATTTCAAGTCAACCTTGAATTATTCACAGGTGAATAATACTCACACCCTCTTCACAACTCACGAGTGAGATCTGAAGAGGGTGTGAATATTATAATCTCAAATGACCCTCTCGAACGATTCTCCTGAACGATTCTCTTGAATGATCTTCTTGTCACGTAATCGGGAGTTGATGGTTTGGGAGATGATTTTTCAAATATCATCGTTGTATCTTCTCGCAGCGACAGTGACATTGAGAGCAGTCCTTCACGAAAACGATCTCGAACTATTTTTGTGTAATATCCCCATACGAATTCCGCATCTGTTGAAAGAGTTGCTGAAAAGTTGATAAGTTTTTTACCATTGAACAAGAAAGAAGAAGCACTGACGCTTGAATCTTTTTCAATTTCTTTCAACCAAATACAAATGATAATTCTCCATCTCTCAGGAACTGTTGGGTATTTTTCTATCTTCTCTTTTTTGTCTCTCTGTTTTTGCTCCACCAATCGTTAACTGATCTTTTTCTCTAGGCTGAGAAATTGACGAGATTCCATTTCCAATCAGAGTATCTCACTTTGACTGAGACCTAAGACCTAAGACCTAAGACCGCTTCATGATCTTGAGAGAAGAAGTTTGTGTCACGCTTTATGGCTTCACCGAAGAAAACAAACCAGTGAAAAGATTGACAACCTCTCTGTTCGCAGGGTGAGGCAGCGCGATCATACATCATTAATGAATGAGTTGCCAGTAATAGGATCCTTGTGTTTGCGCAAAGATTTCTGATATCGCCATGGGACATACATTGCAACTCGCCAGAAGGAAATAGATGGCGAAAGGTTGTTTCGACGACCAAAAAAATAATTTTGGAGAGAGATAAACGCTTCTTCCCCGAAGTTTTATCACAAATGATTAATAATGATGTTGATGCGTGGGAAGTGAAATTTTTTATTAGAATCACCACGAAATATGTCATAAAATATACCGATAAACTTCTCTCCTTACGCAAGGTCTATTGTGAAATCGTCATCGCGTAATGGTCTCGACATGTTACATGATTAGTTATAAATCGCCGGGAAATAACGCATTTAAGACTTTTCGGTTGTATTTATGTATGTACTGCCTCATTAAAGGAGAGAATTCGTTCCTCTCTGAAAGGATGAAATAAGCGATGAAAATCAAGTAGAAATCCCTAGGTCAAGTGGTAGATTGTTGGAGAAAAATCCAAAGGTTTTTTAGCTGCAACTTGTGTCCTCGAACTCTTTGGAGGATCTTATCAGCAACAGCAAGATAACGGGAACTCCGGCCGAAACTGTGAACATCAATTCAGTTGTGCATCGCTCCTTAGCGACCTATTTATACCTAATAATCGTCACAGAATAAAGGTTTCATTTTTTAGCCGATTACGCTGGTTCATTTTCACTGATCACAAAAAAGAAGTTATGTAAGTGTTTAATCACTTTAATGTACCACGATAATATTTAATGCTGAAACACACCATTTCACTCTCCAGCTGCCTCGAGGTAGCTGTTTTAGCGCTCTTTTGTATTACCAAGCCGAGAAAAAAGCTAGAAGTAGACTTTATAATTGTCAAAAAAAAACTTAAAGGCTTTGTTGAGTTAATTCTTGGCGATTTGTGGTTAACATTTCTGAATTTCGAAGTAAACCTTGCGCATGGAGAAAATTCAATCTATAGATTTTATTGAATAGTTCATGGTTGTTCAAACAAAAACTTATGCTTCCCTTGTGTCAACATCACCCAAATCTATTTCTGATAAAAAAAAAAGCGGCGAAAAGCGATAACCTCTCCCCAAAATCGTTTTGTTGAACGTCCGAATAAACTTCCGCCATACATTTCCTTCTAGCCAGTTGCAATATTTGCCCCGTGGCGATCCCAGAAATCTTTGCGCAAACACAAGGATCCGATTACTGGCAATTCATTCATTAACCAAGAGCGAATTTGCCGACAATGGGTCACTTCTGAGTATCCTGGTTCAATAAACTGGTGTCGAAATTATGGCGCGAAGAGGGGGTTACGTGCAAAGCTGCTCTCATCGGTATAAAGAATAAAGTGCCTTGGTGGTGAAAATGAGAGAAAAGTTCTCGGATTTCAGTGTGGGAGAGTGAACATTTTTCTGTGGGAGAGAGGCATCAACTTAGTGATGGTGGCAAAGGAAAGAAAAAAGCAGTTAATTTAAGTGTGGGAAGATAAAGCTAAAGTGTTGCCGAGGTCTCTTCCCAGATTCAGATTAGCATGCGTCAGTAAACTACTTAAAACTATCTGTGTGTGCCAGCCGATGACTAAGATCTCGGTTAATGGATATGCTATATTCTTGCAGTAGGCACAAAAATATCAACCGCGATGTAAGTGAAATTTTTCTCATTGATTCAGGTTTTTATAAGCGAAGAATTCACCCGTAAAAACCTCGATGTTGATGACACGGAGAGTGCTAGAGAACTTAGTAAAGAAAAGGACAAACCGTTGAAAGAGGAAAATGAGATTCATTTGAACATACTTCCTTCTGTCTTGACCTGCTGGATATTTGCTTTCTCTTGTTTCAGGCTTTCACCAAGCTCATTAGTTGCAGTAATGGCAAACTGATACACCTTTCCTCTCTCCAACGTGATTTTCAATTCTCTCACAGAAACATCTCTGATTTTCCTTACTTCTGTCCACTGTCCCACTTTCCCATCAGTCACAACTCTTTTGTACACTGTATACATGGTAATAACTTTTCCATTACTTTTTGGCTCCTTCCACTTTAGGGTAATTGTATCGTCTGTTGTTTCGCCTTGCAGTTCGTCTATTTCGACCACATCTGGGGCTCCTAGATTGATGTCAACAACATGAACAGCATCAAATTTCTAATAATTATTCAACATCTTGTCAGAAACCTGGTCACAACCATTATCAGTGATTAAATAATCTGTTACTTGGTCGAGGATCTTTTAGGGGATACTTTTTAAACGAAAGTGTATAGCAAGCAAAATTAAGTTAAGTATTGAGATGAATTCAAAATAATTTGAAGGGACAAAAAGTGATAATGAAAAGCCTGAATGATGGTTGGTTGTAGCCTAAAACAAATAATGCATTTACAAAGTGAAGCGGAATGATACACTGATCTCTACTGGCATTTAATTGCTACTTACATATGATCAAATGAAGGACGATGCAAAGATGACGTCGCAATTCACCACTCATTTGTGTCACGTAATTACGGAAAGGAACTAACTATTTTCTGTTTTTCAAAGTTTGACATCGCGCATGACTTAGTACGTTCACCGTCAAAAGGGACAGTTGGTTTAAGAAAATAAATGACTTTTAAAAACACGTTTCGACAGTTCTTCTGTCATCTTCAGTTCTGCTTAATACAAATTACAAAGTTGAATTTACACTGTATAAAAAAATGCTGATTGGACAAAACAAACGATAGAAACAGAACAATATATGCAATTACAAGGTAAGTTTCAAATTAACAAGACAAAGTTGATGATTAAGTGTAGCTTGCCCTCTCTGAATGTGAATAGCTTCTTTGATTTTAAGTTGGATAGTTTTGGAAGCGTGATATAAGATGCTAAAACACTCATCAGAATATAAAGCACGACATTGTTGAGAATTTTGGAAATGTCTGAAAATGTGAGAGGTTCTATCACAGACCAAGTGCTCACGCACACGTGTGGATAAATGCCGAGAGGTTTAGCCGACAAAACAAGCATGACAACTTGAAAACCACACACGTACGGAGCCCACGTGGGATAGGGTCTTTCACAACAAACATATTACCTATTTTAAAAGATTAAAAAGGCAACTTTATATCTATGTTATCACAATAACGCTCGGCAAAGTGGCGAGACCTTTTTTGCATGACAACAGAAAAGGGGCCAATGTAAGGTAATTTGAAATAAAAGGTCGGCGTGGTGTCTGAAACGGAAACCGTTTTTTTTTTTTCATCTCACCTACTTTCACTTGTGGTTTATTTATTAGTAGGCTTCTTCAAACGTGGGTACCTCTCAAATAACCATTAGAAAGGAAAAGAAACTGGCCACTAAGGAGGGGACAAACACTTATAATGCGGCGAGCATATAATATTGTTAAAACTGGGAAAAATCTAAGTTAGCAAAAAAATAATTGATGTAAAGTTCTCAGTCACGACATCACTTGTGATTCCTCACCTTCAAATAGAGTCCTAATTCTCCTTACAGTGGGATCTCCCTCGAATACAAAATTTCTGGAAAACAGTTTCACCGTGTAGTTGGTATTTATCTTCAAACCACGAAACGAATAACTTGTTGTCCCAGAATCGGTGATAGAAACCTTTTGTATCTCAGTTTCACCCTTTTGTAAGATCAGTTGGTATCCTGTAATTGGACTTCCTCCATCATCAGCTGGTGCAGTCCATCGTATTGTTATAACAGTTGCTTGAATGACTGATTCTGATGAGTTGATGGATGCTTTCCCTGGTTTCTCTACATAGTGCCATAAAAAAGGATCATTTTGAGCAAAACAAAAAAACAAAAAAAAAAAGCAAGGAGAAATTTTTTGGGTGATTACCTCAAAGCGAGTTTCGTCACAATACTTAAGATGAACGCAAGTACTTGTATTATTAAAGTTTAATGAATATACATGTAGCTGCCGGATAAATTAGCCAAGAGCCCATAAGAAAAGGAAAAATTTAGAGTCCATGCTTGAGGAAGTTTCCTATGGATACTCGCATGGGAGGATGTCGTCAATCTACCTGATGTTCAACACTCTTTTGTAACGTGTTTAATGCTACCAAAGGGCAAGGCGTCGACAGCTTTTACTTCTAATACACTACAAACAGTGGTAATGAGTAAAGGCAAAATAAAATGCTGACCTTATATGTAATTTTTCTTTTATCACAATACACTGATCTTTTATACTTACTTATCTGATTTATCTTTATCAATTTCTCGTCAGATGGAATAAGTCCATTGGCAGCAATGCACTTGTAATGACCAAAATCTTGATCACCCCTGAGTGGCACTTGTGCTTTGTTTTCTCTGGCTCTGACTCTGTTTATTTCACTTCCTTCAGGTTTGTACCAAGAGAGTGTTGGTGTAGGAACACCATCAGAAAGACACTTCAAAGTCACTGTCTGGCCAATCCAAGACTTCTTAAATGACGTGGTGATATTTTGAATTGTGGGCGGGTCTAAGAATAAATGAAAATGTTATAAGCAATCGAACAAGTAATTGGTGATACTTCGAACAAATGAAAACATTAACGAGCTTTATCATTCCACAACTGTGTCATTGACAGCAAAATATGCCACAGTATTACACTTTACAACAAGGCAAAAATACGTAGTAACATATTGGTCGGACTGTACGATCCAAACTTTGATTTTTTTGTTTTGTTTTTTAAATTTGACTTTTAAAGAAGCGAACTTTTAAGCAGGAAAGAACGTAAAGAACACTTTAATGGTTTAGTCCTAGTTGTTTTCGTCGTTGAAGTACACCGTATGCGATTGCTACGATGCACAGATTAGGCCATAGGATGTAATTCACAAACTAAAGTTAAAATACTAAAAACTGAAAATAATAGTGGAATGAAAAATCCCTTATTCGATGGTTTAACATATAATAGGAGCAAAAATTTTTGGTCGCTGCTCGTATTTTTTCCTCGCCTCTTCAAGGCTAGGAGAAATTACTTTGCAACTAGATAGAATAAGGTGTATTAATTTTTTTCTCAGAGGGCACAGTAACGAATCCTGCAATCTAATGGGTACTTAGCGCGGTCCGTATTTTCCTATCTCTACCCACTGCCACGCCAACACTTTCGTAAGTCGTAGAGTAATTTGTTCCTTCGTTGCCATTCTTTATAAATAAATTTCGTTTTGCCGGCTGGGCACTATTTTCAAGGAAAAACGTGGGTCACGGCCTCAAACTGATAAATGACTTGTTAATGCTCTCTTCTCTCTCTCTCTCTCTCTCTCTCTCTCTCTCTTTCCCCCAAATCGCTTTAAACGCCAGCAAAATCATAGTTTAAAATTTAATTTTTGGTAGAAAAATTTTCATTAAATGTGTTGACTCGCGGCCTAAAAATCGTTTGTAATTAATTTCAATCCTTCACAGAAAGAGACTCTGAAAGTTGACACGCAATTTGTTTAAAATTGAATTAATCAATTACAGGACTTACACTGATTCGATAGCGAAGCGTAGCTTATGCTTATAGAAAAATAGTACTAATAACAGTGTCCCATCAAGCCGGAAAATTTGATCGTAGAGTAAGGTATGACCAGCCATAACGTAAGGAAGGGAAACACAGAAGGTAATGCGCACGTGCGATCGAGTGCGTAACTTAGAAAATCCCATTTAATTGGATTCGTGTGCACTACAAAACTCAAGTAAAAATTAGGTTAATTTAGTATTATCAACTGAGTTGATAATGTAACTTGGCCACCGTAAAGAGTTAAAAAGCTGACGATTCGGGCATTAACTCTTCAGTAGAGCGACGATGCAAACAAACTCGCGAGTTTCATGGATTTAGTTCTACTTTAAAAAGAGTGAACTGCATTGTTTGGACATGGTAATTTTTCATCGATATATTTTATGCTTTCTACTGGACGATTCGTTCAAACTACAGGAAATGCTTTGTCTCACAGAACATGGTACCACTTCCTCAATAAAATGAAGCAGAAGCATATTCAGCATCCTTCAAGTTGTATATTATTTTGATAGTTTCTGTCATTTCGTTGTAGTCATTTCGGTCATTTCAGTATGGTCGCTAGGTTCGTTTCGTTTTTATCGTTTCGGTGGTTTCGCTTGATTAGTTTCGTTTTTTTCGTTACGGTCGTTTCATTTTGCTCGTTTCGCTTGTTCCACTTCAGTCGTTTCGTTTAGCTGTTTCGGGATTTAATACATGTCAACTTGAAGGATGTATTGTCGTTTGGGTAAAATTTCTTATACGGCCGTCTATTGCACCCAGTTCACATGGGGAAACAATTGCATATATAATTCCTATTGTAGCTTTGTTCAGAGGCGGAAACATCAAGGTAATATGCCTCTGCTTTATTTTACTGTAATGTGTTTCTTTTTATTTAAGATTTAACATTTAGTTTCACCCCTAAACTGCTTTCAAATAATTAAATTTTATGTTTTAATTCATGTGTGAGAAGATAAAACTGAAGTGTCGCAGAATTCTCTCCAGAAATTGAAGTCAGGTGAGCAGGTGTCAGTAATTTCGTATGATTCTCTCGAGTCTGCATTTTTTTTATTGCTTCGGTTTTTTAACAAAGCCTCTTCTATATCTCTGCGTGCCAGGCAATGATTAAAATCTCAGTGGAAAGATGGGTCATATTTTCGCATTTTTTAGTTCTAACTTTAAGTTTTCTGGCGTTTATTGTTTGAAAATTCATAAATGGTATGGCTTTTTTAACCTTTTAAAGAGGTATTATATATTTCTACATTTAAAACCTAAATTAAGAGGTTAGTTTTATTTCGATAATTTTGAAACTTTATTCTACACAAGAGCACTTGATTGCCTTAATGGTTGACATTCTTCACTCATACATGTCAGTTTTGTACACCTATTATTATAGAGATGTATTTCAAAAAACTGTTTGGTATTGCTATTGTTCTCTGTGGATCTTTGTAGCCGACAAAGCCACTGAACTTCAAATTTTGTGTACACGAAGCTTCCTCCTAGGTGGAATAATAGAATGTTGTTTACCAGGCAATTGCACTTACTGCAGTGTAATATTTAAGCAACACTCAGCATGTATAAAACTGAATACATAACATCTGTCATGATTGTGACATTTTATTTGCCCCGGCCTCACATTTCTTGGTAACACTATATTTAAGACTGTTAGGAAAGCAAACATACAAATGAACAGAAGACAGTGAAAGAAGGGAAACTATTAACTTCACCACTCGATTAAAAAAAGATCACAGAATACTTAAGAAGGGAGGCTAGAATGGTGCGGGTTAATTTCATCCAATGCCTTTCATGTTTTTGATCGAATTAAATTTAATCAGTTGTAGGGTTTCCTACAATGTGGCAAATTGCCAGTGTGTTCTTCAAGACATCTGAGAATATAATCAGTGATTCTTCTCAGTTGTCAGCTTGTAAAAGATAGATACTAAAAAAAGCCGGCCACAAGAAAAAGTACACACCATCAAAAAATCATAGGATTTGGGGAGAATTGGACTCTACATTCAAACTTGTTGAGATTAAATCTGTTCATATCACATATAAGGTTTGTTTACATCGAGAGGTACCGTATTTACCCGTGTATAATGCGCACTTTTTTTCCATAAAAACAAGCATCAAAATCGCGGTGCGTATTGTACACGGATTCTATTGTTTGTCAAGCACATCCTAATTTGCATACGTTAAAAACGCAACAAAGAAAGTAAAATTGCACGGATCGGTGGCCTGGGGAGGAGAAAGAGCTTGCTTATTTACGACTCATTTGAGGCTCACGTGACAGATACTGTGAACACTTCCTTCAAACGCGAACTTCCCTTCTCCAGCCGCTCGATGTATCTTTGAACAAACCATTTAGAGATGGAGTCCGAAAGGAGTGGATGGCTGATGGAATTCACGAACTTACTGGACGACAAAAAAAGGCTTCGGAGGAACTGATCTGTTCGTATATTTCACAAGCGTGGGAAGGCATTCCATCAGAAATGATCGCTGCCTCTCTCTGAAGTGTGGGTGCACAAACAATTCGAATGGATCACAAGATGAATTGGTTTACAATTCAACTGAGATCACTGATGAACTTGAGGATTCAGTCATCGAAACCTATTCGAATCGGACTGTGAGTCGGAATTTGAAGGTTTCGTTGTTTAAGGACATTGAACATTTTACTTAAATCACGCAATTGCAATGCAGTAATTATATTCAAGCTACCAGCAGTACTGTGAGTAGAAATAATGTTTATGAACGGCTGTTATGATAATAATTCAAGTTGTGAATTTAGGTATATTAATAAGGACTTCAAGTTACAACATTTATAAAACGTTTGACAGTTACTGAATAAAAAAGCTTGTAAATAGGTGCTCGGTGCGTGCGATATTTGTAGTAGCAACTAGTTAGAAATTGTTGTAAACATATTATTGATGAATTCCCAGCTCTTGTTAATTAAGTGAAAAAATGGAAGTTTTAATTCTTGGTATTTGTCATGAAATCTTTTTTTTCGGAAAAAAGAGGTCAAAAATTAGGGTGCGTATTATACACGGGCGCGCATTATACACGGGTAAATACGGTAATTATAATAACAGCTTCATGTATGTTTTTAATGTAAAATATAATTTTCAATCACTTTATTCCTTTCTCTTAAACACAATTTATTTCTTTAGAGCACAATTTGGTGTTTTTACATGAGACAGGATGGTCCAGCTGTAAAAGGCCCCTAAAAGGAGTGAACTTGACTGTCACAATAAGGTGACTAATTTGGAAACTTGAGCACTTGGTAAATACACCTTGGCTTTTAATTCTAATGATTACAGTTTGCTGAGGTGATTTATATGTCAGTTCCCATGCAGGAATGTACCTTCCATATGACCTTTGCAATCATATACTATGAGATAACTGAAAAAATGCATTTGTGCTTTTTTAACTACTTCAAGTACAGACATCACCTACTGGTTTCCTGTAAGCATGAATGTATGGGAGAAGTTAAGGCAGTACAGTACTGTAGTTGACCTATCATTGCAAGGATGCTTAATTAGGGTTGAATGGTTTCGACACCTTTCAGCTTTCAAACTTTCAACTTTGTATAAATTGTAACAGTTTACCAGATTTATTATTTGTACCTAGCCCCAGAAACTTGTAACAAGGCAAGTCTGGTATCTAACTTGTTTAATCCTTTGTTAAGAATGGTGTGATTTTATAATTTTCCTGTAGGGTACCACATTGTAACATGTAATGTAATTTGGATGGCATCAAATAGTCAGGCTCAAGCTTTTAGTTGTGCATGGCCTTTTTTCCAAATGCTGATAACTCAACTATGCATTAATGACTTGAGGAATTAGTCATAATATGTGTGACTTTAATAGGGCAGGGATCTGGAAAAACAAGTATTCTCCTAAAAATAGGACTGAAATCAATGGGCACCCCCCTCTTTTAATTCATGTTTTTCTTTGACCTGCCTCCTACCCTCAATGTTTAGGGGTACATGAGTGTAGACTACCTTTTTTGTATTTTGTCCTCGGCAAGAGTATACATCATGCTTTAATGTAACTTCAACTTTAGAGGTTTAAAAATTCAAATGTGAGAATTGTGCAGACCATACTTTTTATCCTTTTCTGGATATTTCCTCTTATAACATAGTCATTATCAGCCTCATTCTCTCCCACTACCCACTGAGCTTTTGGATAGATGATATATAACCTCCATATTTTTTACATGAAAGAAGAAAAGCCTGCCCTCTTACAGCCAGAAAATCTTCTGTGCCCGCAACAAATATGTTACAAGATTGACACTTGGTTCATGCCTTGCCAGAGCTCAGCTAGTGGGTAAACGCCCAGCGGTTGGAGGGTGATTGAAAGTCCAAATTAGCAGGCCTAGGAGGGGCTGCAAAAACCAGATGACTAGGTTTCAATTTCCACCTTGACAAGCCAGCCTGGCTAAAGAAAATCAGGGGGCTTAAAGTCAAGGCTACTGCTAACATGCAGCCCAGCCACCACTCCTTCTAGGGTGGGATGCAAGGGTCTCTGAGTGGAAAGCTCAGGGGGGTGGGGAGGGTTGTTTTTGACTAATCAATTATGGGGGATATTAAATTTGCTTTTTTAGTTGAGTTCTTATGAGGCTGGATTTGCTTTGGCTTTGTCCATTCAGAGTTAGAAGCCGTGCTTTGTGGCAACCCTCCTAATGGACCAGATCGTTTTGTCTGGGGGTGAGGAAATTTTCAAATTTTAAGGGTTTTTTTTTCTTGGACTGTGACTTGAGTTTGTTGTTGTATGGAAATGTTTTGGTGAATTTATACATTATATATAAATAGGCTGTTACTTGGTGTAGAAGACACAGCATACGTCACACTATTGTTTTCATTGTTTTCTTATTCCTGGTTGTGATGAGATTCTATTGTGACGAATAGTGTCTTCTACATCAATTAAGATCCTATAAATAAACCCGTTTTCTAAAACTTTGCTATTTGAAAAAATATACAATTTTTCTTTCTTATCAAAAAGTTGATGCACTATATGCATGTATAATTCACATTAAGAAAACTTTAATTTTTTCTATAGTACGAAGGTAAAACAGTGACTTGACATCAGCCATTGTGCAGTACCTTTATCCTCATAATTTTTTCTGTCACCACCTTTTTATTGGGACAAAGGGTGTGTTTATTTCTCAGAATTCTTCAATTGCAACGTTTTGAAAATGGGTGTATTTATGTACAGTCAAACCTGCATTGAGTAGTCACCCTCAGAAGATGGGGTTCCACAGAATAAGGGTTATATTAAAATGATGAAAAATGTCATTTTATGCTATAGTTGATTTTATGTAAAAAAACTCCTTAAAAATACTACTAACATTAGTTTTGGGAGAGAAAAATGGATTTAATTTTACTAAAAAAATCATTCTTAGTTTTAATTGAGTGGTTCTGCCTTACATGTGACCATTCATTACAAGTGGAAGACAATACAAACAGGCTGTTGTCACTCACTCAAAGGTGACCATGACAACTTAATTGAGGTGACCACTAAAAAGAGGAGAACATTGCAGAGATTAAGGACAAAAAATTGGGACTTTGACAACTGACCACTAAATACAGGGCGACCGCTTAATATGCTGCTGCTTAATATAGGTTTGACTGTATCATAGATTCAGCAGCGGTGGCAGCTGTTTATGACATACTGAAAAAAACTTACATTGCACTGTGACATAAGCTCTTACTGTCTTTTCCTGTTTCCCTCCATTGCTTGCAATGCAAACATATTCTCCTGCATCGTTCTTGTTACTGCTGGTGATGTTCAACTGTTTGGTGTGGGACAAATGAATCCCAGACTTTTCCCATCTTATCTTAGGTTCAGGAAAACCCGAGGCATCACAACTCAAAAACAGAGGACTTGACGTATTAACTGTTACATTCTGTGGTACTTCTGTAAACTGGACAGGAACTAGGTGAGAAGAGAACAACAAAATTTTCACACCATAACATTAGAGTGTGATTTGGTTCAAATCAACCACTTCATACGCTATAGAAATAAGATTATAAAATGTAGCATATACTTAAAAGAATAACCAAAAAAAGCAAACTAACTTTCACTTTCTCAGCTGATCAAAATCTGCATCAGTTTTAAAATACTCTACTAAAAAGCATAAGTTTACAGTTTGTGGTGCCTCGCACAAAAGCAAACGATGAGTTAAACCAATATCCACATTAACACCACATGAACAATTGAGCATTGGGGTAAATATTCGCAATTTTAACTATTGCTTTAAAATAGCTAGTAAATGATGCATTGAGAATTGAAAAGCTGGTTTGGGAATCCCAATTGGGAAAAAAACACCAAATGATTGTAATATTTAATAAATTAAACCTCTTATCTCTTCCCTTTCATTAATAATGTTGTTATTATCATATAGTTTTCATTTTTCAAGAAAAGGTGAAAAGCTTTAGGAATTATCCTTTCAGTTGCTTTTGAGAAAAGAAAAATATGGACAACTTGTCAATGTTATTTAGAAAGTTATTTACAAAAATATATTTTTGAACTGAATTCTTTAGTCCGCCAAAGTGTAAGTAGCCAATTTTAATGTCTCCCTTAATGACTCAGAAGGGCTCTTTTGCAGCAAAATATCCTGGTTCTTGAATTATATTAGCAGAAGCATCTGATTTAAGTTGCATGAAGTAATCTTTGCTACCTGTCTGCATGTAGAACTAGACTGAGTGGGGGAAGATAAAAAGGAGAGGAGTACTAAGATGAAAGTAAAAAAGAAGCCTGGTACTAAGCACAAGAAATGAAAGAAATTTGATGAAAACTTTTAAATAAAAAAACCTGAGAGATAAGTTGCAAAGCAACTGCAGACAAACCTGTAATATTGTCACTCACAGGAAATGGCTTGATGACCCCTTAATAATACGACATTAGGTCACACTCTGTAACTGCGTCTGTTGAAGCTAGGTGTTATGCTTTCAAGAAAAGCTGTGAAATATTTACTGGGTAGATTGATGCCCCCTTTATTAATTCTTTTTAGATAGAAAATTATAGTTAGCATTTCAGTTCAGGATAAGATCCCGTGTGATCAAGATCGTTTTGAATAGGAGACAAGTTAGACAGTAATCCTCAGTAAAGTAATCAAGACCCGTGAACGTTGGTAAGCAATAACTTGTTAAATTGTGATTATATTACCTAGCTCATAGCTGTTACTCAAAGAGAAACTTATTGCTCATTTTTTACCTTTCTTTTGGTTCTTTTAATTATCATATGCTCGTCTCCAAAATCCAGATCATTCTTAAGCTATGATCACAATACTTAGTTAGTTTCTTCTCATTATGATTTCAGTTGACTGCTTCGATATAAGAATGCCCCAAAGATCAAATGGGAAGGCATACAGAGAGAAAAGATCTTCTATTGGTTTGGTGTTTATCGCATGCGTGTGTATCAACCCAGGCATTGAAAAGCAACATTTTCACACTACAAGACTTTTACCACAAGGAAATTGATTTACCATGGGAAAATTTGCCTGAATTCATTTGTGGTTAATTTGTCTTGGTTTCAATCCCATCAAAACAACTCTTGTCACTGGTGTCGGGGTTAATAACTTACAAGACACTAATAACAGCAAAACGTTTTTGGCATGCAAATCAGATCATACACATGCTTGTAACTCCATGACATCATATATTTTTTATCTCTCTCAGTTTAATCTTTTACTAATTTTTTTCAATAAGCACAGTGATCAAGAGTTATTCTTCTACAATGTTTGACTGTCAGCATGCACAACGAGGACCATAAGCGATATCCCTTGCCAACAGTATTGTCATCTTTTCTTGGATTGCTTGGGCCAGGTCTTTGTGTATGACTCGTTTATAAGTTGAGGGTGATTTTTAGGGCTGATCTTTCGGTCATAAAAGGTTGACTTAAACACGAGTAAATAAGGTAAATTTTAGGTTAAAGGTTATTTTTAGTTTTAATTGAGTGGTTCTGTTGTAAGTGACCGTTCAACATGGAGGTGAAAATTACTAAAAACTACTGTAATTATGAGGAACAAATTTTGGAACTTTGACAAGCAGCCACTCAATATGGTGCCACTTAATACAGGTTCGACTGTAATTGGAATATTGAAAAATCCTCACAAGGCTTTGAAGACCAACCCTCAGGATTGAAATTGAGCAGGTGTTTTACTTGTGTGATCATGTTTGTTACCTTATTAATTAGCTCAAAGATTAGATCAAGCTAAAACAGAATAATTTTAGCCAGATAATACATTCCATTACCTTTCCATCGGTGGATACTTTATGGTGGTTATGTGTCAAAAGTGCTTTAACACTTTTGCTAGCAAAGAACATCAAAAATCGAAAACCCTCCTAAAGTCTTAATCACACACCTTTCTCTGCACTAGAGACAGCGTTTTCATGCATTTAAATTTTCCTATTACCCACACCACATAAGGAGGAAACTGTTGTGAAGGCTCTCTTAAGGGTAAAGCCACAACATCACTTTTCATGACAACAATTTTTTTGTTTGCAATGTGCATTGAAGTTATTTCCTTTCAGAATTGTTGAAACTCAATAGCATCACTTGCCCATTCTAACAAATTAATACTACCCTCCATGATGAAACAAAAATTCATAGTACGATAAAAATCTTACCTGTCACAATTAATTGCACCATATCAAACACATCTGGAGCTGAAGGGTTATTTGGGGTAAATTTGAAGATGAAAACCTGGTTATCAACCTCTTTAATAGGATTTAGAGTGAACTTGACTTGACCAGGTGACTGTTGATTCATGCTGCCAAAACGACGGCCATTATACTGTGATACATTTGGGGTGAGATGCCCATATCTATCAAGGATGAATAGAGTGACATTTACGTCATATATTTCCCTACGTTTCATTCCCCATTCAACACGGCGTAAGTCACCAGTGTAGTTCCACGAGAAGTCAAAAGAGGAACCAAGTTTTACAGTCCTATTGCTTCCACTGTAGGATGATTCTAGTTGTACCTGACCCGCTGTTAATAAAGAAACAAGACATCAAGTCAAAAACTGCCAACCTTACAGAAGATTTATTTCTGCTCAAAAGATTTTAAGATTTAACAATTTCTGCTATGACTTAATTTCATTCTACACTCCAAATAAAACAGTTTTCAGATCAATGAAATAATATAACCAACGGTTTAATGATGCAGTCAATGACAATGGAAAGCACAGGATTCTACTGCATACTGATTACACATCATCTTTAGAAGAAAGGTCAAGAGCACTATTCAGGGGATATGACCTGAAAACACCCTGTATGCCATAAGGTTATTGGTAGGCACAAGTTGTCTAGAAGTACATGTACTTTTGACACATGTTAAAACCTGTTATAGATAAGGATTCAGTTGTAAACTTTAGATTGCTGACGGATTTATGATTTGCAAGGAAGATGTCCCTTCCTCCATCTACGAGTATAATAATTTTTGGTAAGCCAAATAAGCTGTGAAAATTTGGTTCATCACATGACCATACAACTGCCAGCATACAAGGTGCTACTTTTAGCAAACGTAGACAACTTCAATGGGGGCACACTTACATTATAGCATTGCTCAAGGCTGAAAAGCACACTCTAATTTAAACGCAATGGGAGAACCATGGGAGTGTTTATGCTTTTACTAATACTGTGTCCACATGCAGTAAAAATCGGAATCCCACAATTTCTGGGATAAAAATTCCTCTCTCCCAGAGGTCATTATTTGGTGAGCATACCACTGACAAGGTGCCAAAATGACCTTAGGCATGAGATCGAACAGTCACTTAAAGAGGAGGCATAAGAAAAGTGGAAGGTGAAGTTTCCTCAGTTACCTTCTTCTTTTACAAAGAAAAGTGGGGAATTCTTATTGATCAAACAAAAATAAGTCAATCATGACTACCAGTGTGGGATACCACAATCATATGTGCATAAAACTAAATACTGGTCAGGTAGACAAATCATACATGTTAGTATAAGCAAATAATGCTCAATTATCCATCCAAGTGCATTTACGGAGTATCTTTACATGATTGCTGCCTGGAGGAAAAGTCACACTCAACTTAGCTAGCAGCAATAATCCTTGCTGAGGTCATCAAAAAGAATGAGTGGAAAAATTGTTTACAGCTCTTCCCAATAATAAATGATGGATGGCAAGGTAGAGAATTTAAGTACAGATAGCAATTCTTTCCTGGGTTTGCATAACCATCATGTTTGTAATGGAAAGCCACCTGACAAAGCAGTAACTTTTCTCATGGCTAAGAAGACGACTCACGCTAATCAAGAAAATAGCACACCTCTAAGTTTCAATGTTGATGTTAAATTCTGAACGTACGTATTGTATTGTTACGTACACTCTAAGCAAAATATCCTTTGCTCTTGATTTCTCTCGTATCATAGTTATTCAGATTCCATTTATCGCGTGACTGAAATCCAAGGTCATATCTAAATTTAGTAAATTTCCGCACAGCCCCATCCTACATTATGCATTCAGTTCTTGGATAGAGAAAACAATGACAAAAACAATACTTTGGCATTGGGAAAACAGATGTCTTTTACAATAGTATGGAGCTGTGCGGAAATTTTACCTAGTCTTGAAATACAAAAACCGTTGAAGGCCACCTTGGAGTACAGAAATTATTTTGGCGAACATCACGTTCAGAAATGAAGTCGGCGTTTTCGTTGTTCAAGCTTACAATGACCCATGGTAAAAAAACACTGTAAAATCCTTTGTACGGGAGAATAAATTTCACGCTTACCTGACCCGTGAAACTTTACCAGCAGAAGAAAGAGTACATATATTTCATAATCACGGGAAGAAATCATCTTGTCAGACCTTTGCTGACGCTTCAATGACGAAAGTTGTGCCTAAATCCTTTGAAGCCCTTGATGGGATAGAAGAGAAGGGCCCTCTTCGTTTTGAGACTGGGACCGAGTGCACGATCATCCTCGTGAAATCGTCGACCGTAGTCGGCAAAATTGACGAAACAGCGGGACCCATGGTGCAATTTATGGAAGAAAACTCGATTTCTGTTAAACACTTGAGACATTTGCACGAATTATAGAAACTTTCCTTTCGAAGAAACGTTCCAATAAGAGTAAACTATGCGTGAAGTTTGTGAATGTGTCGAATGGACACGACTGTCGATGGCATCGATATCGATCACGCGCTCGTATGAAGCTAAATGAAAGTCATGCAAATTAAACATAAATTGTAATAGACAGTTTTAAACTCCTCTTTCTTGTTTATCAACCATGGATTCTTTACCAAGGGCTACTACGTATAATCTTTCTTCTTTTGTATGAGGAAAAACATGACAGGACGGAAAACGCGTGCACTGTAAGTACCTCCCGTTGTCCCATACAAAGCCTTAGAAAACTTTTCTAAGGCTTTGTATGGGCTTTTTTTCTGGAGTATCTGGTAGCGCTCCAGGTTGCTTCAATATGCTTACCGCAAGGCGTCATAATCTCGTCACTTTGTGACAGAAATGTCGTTTAACTGAAAGTGAACCAGAACACCAACAGACCTATACATGTCTCAATTTTCCGATGAGGGAATGTTAGGCATCAATGACACGTCATCGCTTGTCAAACTTTGTCAGTAAACATGACTTCCACTTACGTAATTGGCACAGGATATACTACTACCGATGAGGGAATAATAAATAAATCTGATCAGAAGTCTGTGGCAGGTCGGGTGATATTGAAACGCGTGGAAAATGCATTTTACATTTAAAAAAACTTTATACTTGGAGGATTTCAACTGCTTTTTTTTTTTTTTTTTCTGGTAGTCCTTGCATAAACCTTGTACCCTGTTTCATCCACATTAATTCTTCGTAGTTGTACATTCACTGCGAACAAAGCTTTCCGGTTAATTTTTATCGTTTTATCGCGTTGAGATAGGCCGCTGTCCACTAGAATTTTCTACAACATTATATCAGAATGGAAACGCGGGCACAAACTCAGCCACAGGAAATCGAGTACCGAAGACGATCGCCAACAAAAAGCGCGCGCTTGGCGCGTGCTTGGCAAAAAATAATCATGCCACGACGATCTCGGGAAAGTACAATCGAAGAAAAACGCAGCATACGAAATCAAAGGAGGAAACGTAAACGATTGTCAAGGACAGCTAGGGAAAGGGAGAACAGAGAAATGAGAACACAAAAGGAAAGAGATGCATATTCTTGGCGCGAATGTATTATGGCAAATGGAAAGCATTAGTCGAACAGAATAAAAAGACCCTGGACAAAACCAAGGTAGGTACTCGGTTTGCGTCAAAATAGAATAAAATAGATATCAGAAAATGAGCAGTTGGTTACAAAAAACGATACCACCGAACTGAAGCTGAACGTAATCAAACTAGCATTGTCTTGCATTGTACAAAACGTCCTGGGGTTGACTTCAACATAAACTCATAGGGGGAGGGGAGAGTGTAGCCCTCAAAATTCTTCTCCTTTTTATGATGAAATGAAAAAAAAAACTACAATCATTTTCGTAAAATAAGGCAAGGAATCCCCATTTGAAATTGCCTCATTCTGAAATGATTTAGCGGGAATTAATTCATTTCTGTTTGCCAAGCAGACAGGCTAAACTTTCGTCTGAAAAGGACAGTCATTGAGCTTTGAGCATTTTCCCTTCCATCTTGCCATGTAGTGTTGATCCTGCCCTACCAAGGTTACCACAGATCAAAAAATGGCCAGGGATAGAAATTTCAAGGTCAGGGAAAAGTCAGGGAAATTAAAGTTTTTACATCACTGAGTTTCATACCATGCTGGAAGAAATATTTCAGATGATCTCAGCAATGTTTTAATGAAGAGGAGACTGGACATTTTGTATCCATTTCATCAGGGAAATTTTATTTTTATCATGGATAGGTCAGTACCTTAATAGTCAGGAAATTTTGGAAAGTTCTGTTTGTATTATATGAAAGGGATAAAGTTTATCAATAAATCTATTAACATGGGAATTACAATTTCCTCGATTGTGATTAGTTTTAAAAACTCCTATTTTCCACTAATTCACTTGCCAAGTTGTTGTTGGACAGTTCAATAAGCCAAATACATTCAAAGTTGTAGTTTAAGTCAACCAATCACATTCAAAGTTGTGGTTTAAATCAATCAATCACAACCTTGGTTTCATTCACCATAGAAACAGTGTACAGATTCCTAAATTGGGGCTTTCTTCAAAACAGAGAATTGGTTTCCCTTGAGCAAAGACAATATTTAAGTTTTCTTTTTAATTTGGAAATTGTAATTTTTATGATTAATTGGTAAAAGGACTTTGTGTCATTTGTTTCGGTCTGTAATCACACTCGTGATAAACAAATTGTACTCCCACTATGCAGTCGTCTGATTTTTTTATCACTCATATGATTACAGACCAAAGACTACTCAGCCCTATTACCACTTATTACACAATCTAGCTGACCAGCTTCACTTTTCTTCTGTTTATTACTTTATTCCAGATTAGAGACAGGAATACAAAATCAGGACCACCCAGTAGCAAATTTGCCACTGTTAATTTTAATTGACCCATCTGAGCTTCAACCAATCAGTGAAAAGGAACTAATACTAGGACAGGGTTCATATGGCCGGTGCATTTTAAAATCTCTCAAAAGATTAAACGTTCTTGTGGTAGAAAAACAATGTCTGATGCAAAGCACTAAAGAGATGGTAAAGGAGGCACAAATCATGTAGACTCTCACACACAAAAACATTCCTGCAATAATAGGAATCCAGCTTGAAAGAGAGCCTATATCTCTAGTGATGGAGTTCAAAGGGGAAGAAAATACATCCGCAACAGTCAGTAAACTATTGTATTGCATTGGATTAGGGAAAGTCACACCACAGTAAATTAAAAACAAAAAAAAATTTATCACAAAAACAGTTCCAGCAGCACAGAAAGGCCACAATGTTGGATGGATGGCCAGGTATACAATTGGAAAATGAATTGCAAAATGTGTACCAGCATGTTTGTGTTAATCCCATATTATGAAGTATGAGTTGTTTTCAGTAACTCAGTGTCAAATTTTATGGTATAGTTTTCTGTAATAATAACTAATTATCATCATATTGGCTTTCCATTGTTAGACATTAATGCCAATTTCTTGACCAATTGGAAGTAAAACCAAGTATAACTTGTTTGCATATCTAAAAGTAAATAAACAAAGTTAAAACTGGGTGGGTTGCCTTGAGAACCCATCTGTTCTGGTGTGTTGTTTTCTGAGTTCTTAGAAATAAGTGCACACTATCTTAACTCTGGTGTAATTTTGAATATCAGAACCCTGAAGAATAGCCCTTACTAACCGACCTGGTGCATGACACAGTAGTTTGGGTGTGTTTCTATCTGACCAAATGATAGGCTTTGACCTGTTTTGAGAAATATCCATGTCAATGGTACTGTCCATCTAGTGTGTAAATATAGTACTTTTAAATGAATTCAGTAGACTTATTCATTTGATCATTATCATCTGCCACACAACTGTGTTCCCTATTACACTAGTGTTCACTGTGAGATCTAGAATGACATAAATGTAGGCAAAAATGGTATAATAAATTATTTGAGCCTAAGCCTTCTTGTAGTTGAAATATTGGGAAAGAAAGGAAGAAGAAAATAATCAAGAATAGAAGAATTAGGCATATGCAAGATAACATTCTGCTTCCATTGTTACTTTAGCAAATCAGTGTTCCTGTTGTGAAGATGTCACATCTTTTATCAACAGGACTGCCAAGATGACTTATCTTTTCGCCAGTTTCTGTTTGCTATTGTAACAATAACTCTTGCAGTCCACTGGCAAAGGCCAAAAATTAACTTAGGAATAAAATAGGATGCTGTGGCTCAAAAAACTTTGTATTAGGACACTGCCAGCTTGAACTTAAGAGTCAGCATTTTGGCTTTGAGTTTAAGCAGAGACTTTTCCCTTTTTCTAAAATTTATGATCTATTTGCAAGCATTTTCACAAGTCAAAGCCAAAGCCTTCTCTTAAAATTAATGATTGAAAAACTAAGGTATGTTAAGTTAACATTTTCTTTCAATTATTAAATTTCATTGTGGCAACTTCACCTTCACCTAACTTCTTCGCGCCAAGTGGCACAGAAGGCCTCATCCCTGAAACATTTTTGCATATTCATCTCTCATCTCGTACCTATCCTGTGTATCCGTGTATGTAAGCTATGTTTGCGCTAAAAATCTAAAGGTGGGAGGATAACCATAACTCCACTGACTCACCTCTACAAGTTAACATTTCTCACAGTTCCTCTCATATTAAACAAGTCGTGCTGATTAGACATGCTCGAAATGTAAAGGGTATTTTTGACAGAATAATTGAAGACAAGTACGCATGCGTTAAGGGTGTCTGGCTCGATATTTCGATACGCCCACGAAATCAATTGACCGTGAAGATCTGGGAGAAAGCCGTTTACCAACAGGCTACTGGAAAGCGCTTTTAGTTATTCACCATACGGGATAGCTGCATACCCACAAATATGTCGTAGAAAGAACATGCCATCCTACCACTAACAAACAACTTGTGGTTGAAAGCCGGTTAAGACAACAGGACAACAGGCAAAAGAATGGAGTCTTTTATTAAGATTAAAGAATCATATTACGACATTCATAACATTAACCAGGACTCCATTCACGAGCGATGACACATTGATCTCTATAGTTTGAAAGGTTATGGAGTCGCATTACAACACTAACCAGGACCCCAATAACTAGCGATGATAAGTTGATCCCCTACAGTTTGACATGCTTTCACACATTCCCAACAGACCCAGGGAAATAACGCTGCGGGAGATGATACTTGCAGTAAAATCCATATTCGTCCTCTCTGCAAACTTTATTTTAAATAGGGGTTTTAATTTAAATCATAGGCAAGCTTATTTGCTGTAAATATTATTTCAACCGAAGAGCCTCACGGACAATAATTGCCGGATGATGCTGAGCTAAAGCTGAGTTTTCTATTTGTTGTTATATTCTGTTTTTGTATAAGGTTCGAGAACCAGAAAAGTTGTCGACATGTCAGTTACTCTCAAAATGAACCAGAGTAGTTCTTGGCGAACTCAGATTTGGATTAGAAGGGAAAATTCGTCTGTTCAACAACCACGTGTACTGCCAACCTCTAACTGTTGTCTCGGAGAAGTTTTTCTTTGCTAATTACCAAAACCGGAGGGCTCTAGGAAATTTGTCCTGGTGTTGACAAAATTTTTTATCTCATAATTTACATGCAGTTACAGTTTATAAAATTTTTCATTTTGGTGATGTCTTTGTCGACGCACAGCCAATCCAGAGGTTGGAAAAATTTACTAGGCTCTACTTTAAAATGTTTGTTTCCAAAATCGAAGAAATTGATCAGTTGGCTTTAACCTAATTTTAACTATGTAATGCGGGAAAAAAATCAGTCCTTTTTTTGTCGATAAATCGTTCATCTGACCTCACAGCAAAAAATTTGAGTTCAAAGAGGAAAAAAACATACAAAAAAAGAAAAACAGAAATGTTTAAATACAGCACAGACGTTTGTAATACCAGTATAATGTACAAGCATATTTATAGAAATGTGAGGCTACACATCTAACATACCGACTCGAAACTGTTACACTTACAATACACTTCCACGGTAATTTTTGCCGTCGGTCCGTCTCCATAAGCATTAGATGCTTTGCACGTGAAGGTCACCCTATTATTCTCTTCCACTTCTGAGACGAACGTTGTAAGAACTGAATTACTACCAACATTATTACCATCTTCCCTGAATATTTCATACGTAGCTGGGGGGTTGGCTTGACTATCACATGTGATGGTGAAGGTTTGGTTCACAATGACAGAACTGTCCCCGATGTTAATTATTAGGGTTGTGTTCAGTGGGCGATAATCTAGAATAGAATAAACAGTCAAACTGAAAGAAATCGAACTTAAAGAGTACATTAGGTGGTCGCACAGGTAACCAATTAAATCTCCGACTGCAGATGGTTTCTTCTACCTGCCAGTGCGACGGCAGGTAGTGTCAAAACAAAAAGAAAAAGAAAAAGTTTAAAACACCGAGCGGCCATGCCCTCTTCCTTTTTTACACTGATATGATACAAGGAGCAACGACATTCCTTTTTAGGAATCTTATTATCTATCACAAAAAAAAAAAAAAATAGAATTTAACTTATATCAAAAAGGAAGTAAAAAAAAAAAAGCCTGAGAGTGTATGTGGCATGTTTAAGAAGTAATGTTTCTAAGCACAAGACACCTTGGTATTTCATCATCAAGACGAAAGAACCATTTTCATATTATTTCAAAGGTATTACATAGGGAGTAGAGTGACCAACTCCAGATGAGAACACAGGCCTCTCACAAAGGTTTACTTTTGTTTTGCTGTTCAAATAGACAAGGATAACGAAACAAATGACTGATAATGACTAATCGTGTCTTAGCTAACTTAGCAGCGGGATTCGACTCACGAAAAACAGTAATGTAGACGTCTCGCGAAGATTCATCCCTTCCGACGCCATTTCGGCAATGCATCTATAAAACCCTTCTTTCTGTTTACCAGTGATGTAAAGCAACCCAGTGACATTACTGTTGTCATGAGCGAAAATCCATTTGATTGTAGGCGAAGGATACCCATCCGCTTGACAGTCTAGTGTCACTGTATTACTATCATTGACTATCGTATCATTCATGATGTGGGTGATCTTTGGTGGATCTGGAAACAACCAGACAAAACATTTGCTATTTAACAAGCAATGAAAGAAAATACTAGGAGATCCTTTACATATTATTGTGTTTCTATCATGGATCGGATGCTCAAAATACATTTAGAAAGTCAGACAGTGTTTCAAGAGAAAAAAAGATGAAGCTGTCCTTAAATTATTAAATTTCTACGTTCATAAGAAATTTTTTATCGGTTTATTCTTCCTGCTTGGCGCTATTCTTCGCCAATTACCGAATATAGGGGCTGGTACCTGAATGCTACAATTAAGAACCTTGGTGAGTACTCTAAAACCACTGCAGAGGTGAGCTTCAAACAAAAAGTACTTATATTTCATATGAACCGGTAGCAATATCGTCAAGAAGTGATCAATTTTTCCAGTGATTTCAAAATGCGGGATTCACAGTATTAAAAGATGTTTCCTTACCCTCGCAAAGCTCTTGATGTGTAAATCAGGGTTACCAGGATGTTAAACAAAACAGAAGCCTAATATTTTCCCGTCCGGCCCGACCGTCATGCTTATTGCCTGAGTATGATACTCAGGCAATAAGCATGACCACTAAAAGTATACAATAGACGGGCGCTCGTGGGGCAACCTCTAAAAGGATTCTAAAAATTTTCTGTTGTTTGACCGAGCGAGAACCACAATTCATCGAAAAAAGGCACTTTTTATACTCTTTTCTTTTTTTTTTAATTTTTCGAGATAGCCGTCTGAGTGTAGGGCCGGACGGCTTTTTCTGAACCGGATTTGTCAACACGTCCGCCTTACACACGTTAACTTTCTCTAGGTTTCTATAGGCCCGTGCGCGCGGGGGGCGCACAAGGTTTAAGATGAAGTACACTGCTAGTCTGTTATCATAAGAAAATTGCAGTTTATCTCCCAAACAAAAAGAACATTTTTTCGCCCATTGTTCTCACACAGGGAGGGCCAATAAAGGCTTGACCTTCGACCGACTGGTTTCATCGTTGCGCATTTGTCAAAAAAAATTAGGAAAAGACGCATTCGTAACCAATTCAAGACTGATTTGTCGAATTAATTGGTCTTAGTTTTTGGGAGAACTCTTACATTTATGCAAAGACAGTTCCTAGTGGCATTAAAATTAAGAATGACTCAACATTACTATAATTTAACAATTTTAAAACATCGTTTCATTAAGAGAAGCTGAAATGTAAATATAATCTATAAGTGATGCATGTCCTTGAATAGTGTTTTATGAAGAGGCGTGATAATTTGTTCATCAAGGTGTAGAAGTACAACCAATTCTTTAAATCAGCGCTCGAATGGAGGTATTCAGAACCAACAGCATTCCGCACTGTTTCCAAGACAGGGACACAGACACTAGTCCATTAAGCGCCAGCAATAGACGTTATTGGCTCAAATAAAGTAGACAGAATGGTCTAAAGGATTCCCCGTAAATGCTACCCAATTAACTTCGCCAAGGCTGAAAAACCTATATGCAGTAAGAAGCATCACAGGGACATTTGACGTGCTATGGCACGGACCCCCGTCATTTCAGACTGCGCTCACTAGATCAGACGTTATACCCTCTCTGAAACTCACCACGATCCACTAGCGCAGGGTAAGAGTTGCGATACTCATAAAAATTCACCTTGCAACATCAAAATAGACAGATTTTTTTTATCCTTGGTGCCAAGGATAAAAATTTATTTTCGGCACTATTTATTTTCATGAATAACCATAAACATTTTTAACGACACATCAAGAAGAAAACAAATTGCAATTTCCTACTCTGATGATTTTCCAAAAACACTGCTGCGATTTGACTTGCTGGTTTTTTAATTTAAAAAAAAAGAGCTAAAAAAGAACACGCTTTAATTTTGCATGGAATTCCGGCAAATAGTTTTTTCCTCATTTATTGGCATGAACTGCATCTATTGCACCGCCGTGAGAATATATTCAACATCGATTTCATGCTTTTTTCCATTGTGTTTTTTGTTCATATTTCAGGACATTTGATTAAAGCGTATTAATGAAAACGACTTGTGGAATTCCGAAATCAATTGAGCCGTAAATGTTTCTTTCTCTAGCCATAACTTCCTTGAAGACATTCACTTTCCATCTACAACATCCTTTCTGCAAACAAATTTCTACTTGTGTCGCATATCATCAATGTCCATGTGCACACGTTTCACGTCATGTATATACACATTACAAGTGCACTTGCCGACCAGACCGAACGGTACTTAAGAACGTGCATTTCGATTGACGTGTGTTTAACACTGTTAGAAAAAGATGTGTGAGCAATCTAGTACAACAAATGTCATTTTTCAACACATACCTGTCACAAGAAGCTGAATTTTACTTTCTGGATTAGTGATACCATCAAATAATTTGCATCTGTATTGGGTGTTGTCTCTGGGAGTTACTTTCTCGATGACTAGGGTGGCAGTTGCTTCCATGCTGACTCTCCCCTTATAAGCAGAAGGCATATCTGGATGATTCTGGACAACACCATTCCTTTTAACCAGCATTCGTTTAAATTCTTCCCTTTTTTACCATCCACCAGAACGCTGAAAATAGTGGCAAAGATTTCATTATTTGGGTCACTCTAGTCCCACACTAGTCTGGCAGTGCTTCCATTATTAATGTAATCTGGATTAGAAGGCGTCATCGTAAACTTGACAATGGCATCTAGTTTAAGAAACAAACGAATTAAGACAGAATTATTCCAATAAGGAATCATAAGATATTGGCCGCTATTACTGATTAACCTCGTCATAGCTATTCACAAGGATCACTCAATCATTGAAATCAGTTTGAGGAATGATTCACGATACCGGAAGTTTGAACTCAAATGTGGGAGAAATGTAAAATTTGTCTCTAAGCATTATAAGCTCCTTCTTTTTAAAATTACTCGGGCGATTAAAAGGGTCTCGTGATTCAAATAGATATGATTATTTTTAAGGTTGTTTTCGTATCCATCATTATCATCATCATCACCTTTTAATTTATCTTTCTAGAAAAGAGAGAAAACATACCATAGCAACTATTAATAGCTAAGGCGGGGCAAAAAGGTAATTTAAAGTAAGAATGACTTTTACAGGAACTCGTTTATTCATCTCCTCTGAAACTGAGTGTTATCCATATATGTTCATTATTCAAGTCTGTATTTGCATGTTTTGCCCACTGGTATTGTAATCTCAGATGCTGACACTGACCAAAGTGATTATTACCTAACAATAATCCTAATCATAATAAACCTTGCCGAATCTTCGTCTACGATGAGTTTCATATTAGTAAGCATTCTATGAAATATAAACACATACTATATCTTTATAAAGAAACCGATGTAGTAATCAGCAATTCGTTATAACGCAAAAAAAGAGTAAATCCTTAATTGAGACCGAAACAGATTTATGACTTCAGTTTCCTTTATTGTTTGCTCGGTCTAACAACGGTATGATGAAAATAAAACAACGCTCTCTGTCACATAGATTTCTATATGATCTTTTTGATTTATCTCCGGTAAACTCAGCGACTCAAGCCCAATCGATCCTAAGAAAATTTTTCAACGAGCAAAAATATTTTATTTTCCTGTCACAGGAATTATCGCTGCAGCAATTACTAAATACTTGAATCTTAATAGACGCTTGCACATGACAGAGAGTTTTGCGTGCGAGTACTTCTTTTCATGAACTAAAGGAAACGTTTTGTAGGTAATGATTCTTGAATAGGCAATGTGACCCTACTTTAAAAGGTTACAAGGGTTACGCATTGTGACTAAGCGAAAAGTAAAATTGTATTCAATTCATCCAACAGAATATGACGCATATGTTTTATCAAGAGACAGAGCTATTGCTTTGTGTTCTGAAACTATATGAAAAAAGTTATGACCCGATCGCAAACTTAACTTCAGGGTCACACTGAAGTTAAAGTACTCAGAAACGACAACGAGCTTCATTTCACTAAACTAAGCCAAAAGTACATGCTTATAATGAGTATATCAATCTTAAATGATGAATAATTCTCTCCGATGAACATGCTCTCTTGACTAAGAAATGAAGTTTTTTTTTAAAGTCCCGAAATTGAGATAAAAGTTTAATCTTAACTCAATGCTTATTGCGTCTTATCCCTTACGCTTTGTGAGGCAAAACCAAGTATGTTTCTTTAAAAGGTCGAGTTTTGTCTGATCACTGATGAAATTTACACTTTAGATAATACATTTCAGAACTGTTTAACCTGATAGATTACTCGTCATGATGAATTAGGAAATTTAGCAAAGAGTATGCAAACAGAGTTTCCAACTGTGGGGATCAGTATGACGATAAAATGATTGCATTGCCTCTCTTACATGTTTATTGTATAGAGAAATGCGGATCACATGATTTTTCAATATTGCTTTGTTCAAAAGTTCCAGTTTAGAAGTTATTTTCCTGTGATTCAATATTCTTCCCTATTAGCTACATCTTTGTCAGAGTCAGTAGGATGAAGTTTGCGTGAAATAGCGGCGATTGCCCGACATTGAAGTAAACTCGTACTGAAAGAACAATCTGAAAACGTTTCTTAGACCAATTTGTTTAAATCTATGTGAATTGAACTGGACCAAGTAAAACCAGCTGGTGCTCCAGTCTATTTTTTCATTCAATCTGGATCTACTTTTGACTGGGAGAGGATTTAGGATGAGAAAATTCGTTTTCACGGGACTGTCACCCTTTAGCATTATTTTGGTATAGTGCCTATTCCGGGCGTCAACTTCCGCCATTTCTCCATTGTCATGGTTTTGATGGATCCTATCTTAAACACAAACCGCACACAAATTTACGACAAGTCTTACCTGCCGTAGGAACGATAACAATAGTTGCGAGAAAGAATTGAAGGATGAAATGAACCTTACACATTACTGAAACTACTGTTCCATGCCAAGGCTACCAAATCGAAAGACTATTTAATCAACGATTATAATTCGGTGTTATAAAACCATATGTATGGCATTGTCACCCTCTATTTAACAAATAAAGCAGCCTTGACGATTTTCTGTTCTGGTACACGAGAAGCGTGTAGAGGGACACGTAGTCGATTGTTTCTTCCTACATTTCTTATACTTCTTTTGCGCTCTAACCGCTCCCTGCGTGCAACTGAACAAGTCATCGGGAAGGTTTCTTTATTTGTCTTATGATAAATAATTCGTAAAATTTCCCTCGCATTACTTTCTATTTCCAAAAATCATCATTCCCGTTTTTTCTGTTGTGTTTTGAACACGAAGCTATATCTACTATAACGGTGTTAGCTGTGTTTGAGTTTTGCTATGATTACTGTTTGTACTTAAATAATAGTCTACCGAGCGTCCATTTCTATTTCTCTTTGGTGATTTTCGTCTCAGCTCACGTTATAATTTCGTCAATTACCATGCTTGGCATGCTTACAAAACATTTGTTTGGTTTTTCTGTTGCTACGTTCCAGCTCGTTTGTGCCGAAATTTCACTTTCTACCTTCATGTAAATTGTGCTGTTACCGAGACAAGCTTCTGTATCAATTAAAGCTAAGAGCTGAGTTTACATATTCGTTTTACAGGTCATGTAAGACTTGTGTGTCAATTAACGAAAGAAAGCTAGACAAGCTACAAGCTTCTGTATCAATTAAAGCTAAGAGCTGAGTTTACATATTCGTTTTACAGGTCATGTAAGACTTGTGTGTCAATTAACGAAAGAAAGCTAGAGAGAGTCCGGGAAAATAGTCTGCGTTAATCCGCGATATGTCCGAACTTTATTATCTTGCAAAGTTATTGCTGACGTTATACAGTCATGCGTGTACTATTTATAACTAATTGCTTAATCCAACTCGACCCACTAAATTACTCCCTACCTGACTGGGAGGAAAAAATAATCTCATTCCATGTGTATCTATCTACGGAACGAAAAATGATAATATGTTTCATCAGCGCCGAGTTCTAACGAAAATCAAATAATCAATACATTCTTTGCAATTCTTAATGTTCTAAACTGCATTTTTACGGTCAGACCTTGTTCTGAAGTCTAATATTAGACTACATCAAATTATGAAAGAAACGCCTCGCTGATTAGAATTACAAAGTAACCGTTTTTGGCCTTAAACACTTGTGAGAATCTTACTTAATGCCAAGGAAATATCAATTGCATATTTTGCATCTCCCTTTAAAAATAAGTTTACGAATGAAGAGATTGAAAAAAAAAAAATTGAAAGAAAACAGAAATGAGAAAAACAAAAACAGGATTTTCTTGTGAAAAGATCTGGCCCCGGTTGTTCGACGGTTGGATAACGCTCTCCACTGAATAAATCTCTATCCAGTGTATAGCGCAGCACGTTTTCTTAGCACTTTTATCCGCCCTTTCAACAATTACTGCCTGAACATCAAGTGGGGTGGATATTGACGACAACATGATAAAAAATTAGTTACATGGAGTTTTTTTCATAAACAACTAAAGCCGGCGGAGAATAGACTGTTAAGAAGAGTAGCCCTTCAATAGATTTTAGAGGCAGTAAATGGTTTCGACCAAAAATACTGCTTACATTTTTACTGGATTGTCGTAAAATACAAAACAACAACAAAGCATGGATCAACATTATAAATGGAAGCTCTTCGCCTACCCAATTTGTTTTAGCTTGAACTGGCTGCTCTTTTCCTGCAACTGGATTGTTTCAGTAAGAAAGAAAGATTCAATGAACGCTTTATAAGAAACCAACAAGATCCCTCAGTCTGTCAGGATGATGAACAACCCCAAACCAATCAAAGCTTGACCAGAAACTTTCTTCAAAAGAGAATATACTCTTCTTTTTCAAGGTGAAATCTCCTCCGTTGTATCTCATTCCACCATCTAGCACTAACTCAAAAGAAAACTTTCATTTCTTAATGGGAGGAGGAGAGAGTCATGGATTTATTGTCACCACTGATAGAGGAAACGTTCTACACCAGCTAGTGCGCTAGTCGGAAAAGGAGAGTAGATGGAGTCGACTTCGCAGTTTTGGCCACGTCATTCCTCCATTCGCTCTGACGAAGGGCTAACGCTCGAAACGTCCGCTTTGAAACTATTCACGGTGGCCAATTTAGATTGGTTGAATGAGAAGTGCTCGTTGATACCGTGGGTATTAAGATTGCCGATTCGTAAGACACTTTTTTGTAGTTACGGTCTAATCTTAACGACAGAAACAACACTATACTTCTATAAACTTTACTACTTTATTAAGTGACGATTAATATTCTTATATAGGAGCGACTCTGATAGACAGTACAGTAATTCTCCTCAATAAACTTACTTAGGCCCACTACAGTCTACTTTTAGAACAATAAAAACAAACTGGATGTTACACACCATCATCATCCTCTTGTGACAACATGGCACCAACTGCGACATCACTTGCAACGACAGTCAACTTTAACGGGGAGCTGAAATCAGGCGCTGTCAATACAGGGGCACTCTGTAACATAACTCTCCACAAATGCGTTTTCACATCGTTCATTCCAAATAAATTTTACCTGCTTACTGAGCAATTGCGT